GTCCAACTTTCAGTGCTGCTTTCTCCAGCCGGTTTAATAAATCTTTTAGTCCGTCTTGTGAATCCTCCATGATCATCTGCATAAGCCAGAAGTCCTATGGACGATTCCTGGAATTTAACTCCTTCTTGCGGTGTAATATTCATCTCTCTTACAACTTTCTATACTACTATATTAAATAAGATTGGTGATATAGCATCTCCCTGTCTTAATCCCGATTTAACTAAAATTGGGTCTGAGTTTGTATTTCCAACCTTAACTTTGACAAATGTTTCCAAAATGCTTATCCCAATCAGTTTTATAATCTTGTCCTGAAAATGGAATTCTCTCAAGATGTTTATTAAGCTTTCTCTATGGATGCTATCATATGCCTTCTTAAAATCTATAAAAAGAACGTGTATTTCTCTATCGAACTTCCAGATTTTTTGAAATATTTGTCTTAAAGTAAATATCTGGTCTGTGGTCGATCTTCCAAGTCTGAAGCCACCTTGGTAATTGCCAATAATTTGTTCTGCTTTTGTTTTTATTCTTGTTAATAGGCAATTTGAAAAAATTTTATACGCCACGTTTAAGAGGGCTATCCCACGATAGTTATTGCTGTCTTGTTTACTTCCTTTTTTATGAATTGGACAAATCACCGCTATCTTTCAATAAACATTTAGTATTACCATATACGTTATAAATTTTAAATATACATATTCTATGAACGAAGAAAAGGTATTGAATAATTATTTACCCAGAAAACATATAAAAATGAACGTATTTCAAATAACACTATTCAATTTTATAACGTTTAACTTTTTTTTCTATATTATTGATGACTGGGCGATACCCGCAGCCCAATACTTACGCCCGGAATATTTAATATACGTATACCTTATAGCTAATATTATACTCATATAATAATAATATACACAATAATTGTGTTAACACATGGACATAAAACGTCAATGTTTGGCTGGAACGTTCCATACATAACAATGTATAAACTAAGATTAAAGTAATAAATAATAATAAAGCCAACCAGTTACCACTGAATAGTGACCACAGCTAAATACGAGTAGTATAGTATATATAGATCTTAAATCGTGTTAGTGTATACTGAGAATAGCAACATGGTTACAGTAATCACTTATTAGTTAACCGATTTATATAGAATAGTTTTAAAATTATGATATATTTAATCAAACTTGAGTTTCATAAATATAATATACATACATACATATATATATGCATTAACAATTATAAATTGTCCATCAGAGACCAGTATTAATAACATTCATAATACTATTTTTAATATCCTACATTCATATTTTGCTACGTTAACGTTCCATTGACCATCATTGTTATTAGTTATTTTCGGCTGTTCGACGTTATTAACTAGTTATCCTTATTTCTCAATTAAACATAAATATATTTATTTCTCGAGAGAAGAAACGGATTCATGAAGATGATTCTGACATTTCTGATGAAACAGATGTCTCCAGGCTTGGGCAACCTGAGCCATATAAAAAATGGTTTCTGAAACGGTTGGATGTACTATTTTATAAAATCATTTCAGTCAAAGAGTCAAAAATGGTTGTTTCGTGTCAACACTGCCAAAAAAAAATTGTAATTCATATATTTATATCATTATAGGTTTATTGATATAACTTTTTACAAGATTCTTTATTTATCTACAGTATGTAATCTCACAAAATTAATTAAGATTATTTTAAACCATTTGAATTATAATAAATAGTTAATTTTTTTACTCATAGAAAAATAACCATTACAAATGTAAGTTCTGAATGATGAAACTATTTAAAATTATGTTTTTATCTAGTTTTATCTGTTTTTTTATCTAGGTAAATGTAGTTATCTTTTATCTATTATCCAGATACATTTTTAAATATTTATCTATTATCTTATCTAGATAACATTTTTATGTATTATCCGTTATCTTATCTAGATAATATTTTGGTTATCTATCTACAACACTGAATATCAATAATAACTACTTTAGCTTCACACTTCTATATATGAATTCGTAGACGCACCAACAATTATATAAACTTACTCATACCCTATATTTCATCAATTAATCTCATAAGTAATCTTCCCGTCGCATCAAGAGAAAATGATCAACTCAACAGCTAATTAGAAAAAAATAAAATTTAACATAAATTTGTTTAGCTTTTAAAATCTCATTTTTTAAGTAGTACCACATTAAGCACTTTTCTATCACGTTTTTCAGTCAAGTACTAATCAGTTTTTTTACTCAATATATATAATAGTACAGATTATAAATTGTTTTAAATTAAATAAAATTGGGTTACTGACCCAATTATTAATATAAGTTAGGAAGGAATCGCATAAGACTTTTTAAGGGTACATAAGAATCATTTTTTTTTCTTTTAAAACAAAACATTTAATAACAAAGATTCATGTCATTAAAATGCATGTATTATAGTATTATATATTACCAGTTTATGATGTATAGGTAATTGGTCGTATATTATTGTATTTTAAAATTGAGTGAAACGAAACAAAATAATAAACAAATAAATAAAAATATATCCTATACAAACTCGATAATATCCCCTTGGCTACACTCAAATCTAAAAGCGATAGGAGTGTTTCTCAAAATTGGAAATAGTACAATGACAAGGAGCATGGTAATGGAAATAAAATCATTCAACAATGTAGAGATAAAAAATATTCAGTTGACGAATGTGGATAAATCTATGATGTGAAGTTGCATGTGAGTAATATATTTTTCTAACTAAAAACATGGTCATACTTGTAATATATTCTATATGCTAGTATATACAAAAAAAAAAAAATTATTCTATTTTTCGATCAGAATCTGAAATATGAATTGACACATTTTATATTTATTTTTTTTTTTTTAGAGTAAGTATAGACTTGTATTTTAAATCATCAGTATGAAAAAAAAAATAAGTACACTTTACTCTTCAACTGATTTTATTTATTTTGATCTTTAATAATTTTTGTTTAGACAAAATATTATTGCACTGCAGACTAATCATATTTTGAAAATATAATCATCTGTTGATATTAAACCTTGATAGAATCAAAAATGTTGTGGCAAAATATTTACTCCCAAATGAAATTGATAGTTTCTCGCAATAGTGTCGCTTTAATTAATTTATTTTTTGTATAACTTGATGATGAAATATTTTGTACGTATGAGAAACACGACATGGGTTCAATTCTATGTATCAAAAAGCAAAATATATTTCATTATTTTATAAATTTTAATAACTCTAAAGATTTGACACAATGAAAGATTATTTAGTTTAATAATTTTTAAACGTCCTAACATATAAACTTAAATTTGTTTAATTTTGTACACCAGTTAAAATTCTAAGTTATAAAATCTAAAAATTAATTGTTATTTTTGTTTACATATTTATTTTCATATTTATTCATCTATTATGATTAATTTTTTGACAGTTATTTAGTTAAAATAATTTTTTTATGAGCATTTACCGTTCTAATAAAGAGTCTGTAATAATTACAATATCAATGTCATAATATTTTCCCCTTATGTGAAGTTATTTTTTTTTAATGTGATAATTTAATATATTAATCCTTTTATAATTTGAATCTATGTTAATTTTTTTTTTTTATTTTGAAAAAAAACATAAATACATACATTATTATTGAGTAACATTTTAGATTATCTTTCTCCTTTAAGCAATGCTTGTGATGGAGAAAGAGAGTTATAATATATGATACAATTATTATTATTATTGAATTTACAAGATATAGAGTATAAGTTCTAAGTACGTATAAAGCTAAATATACAAATATAGTTTAAAAATGTTATCAAGAAAAAGTACTGATGAAGAAAGAAATATAAAATAAACATGTTAGTCTAAGATCACAAATAAAACCTCATAGATTAATATTCATAAAGCTTAAATATAAAATAAAATTATAACAGCTCATTGTTTAACTCAAGAAATAAATATTTATATACCAAGCCTTTAATATTAATCGTTTCATCTACAAATATTTTTTTTTTTTTAAATCAAAAGGCATAGAATTGAAAAATGTTGGTCCAAGGTAATCTACAAAACATTGACCAAAAGATTTATTTGTATAATTAACAGTCAAATCAAAATTCCTCAATTCTCTTTTATTGCTTGACTTTTTATGATAATTATCTAAGTTAAATTTCTTGACCAAGTTCATAATAGCAATTTTTTTATACAATAACCTTATTGGAAAAACACCAAGTTCTCTATAGTTGGCTTTCGTAGATCCTTCTAGAGTGAATTTATTTAGGCAAATTCTGACTATATTATTTTGATTTACTACTAGTGCATTTAATATGTTATCCCGAAGGCCACCCCATACAAATAGACCATATTGGAAATTTGATTGATATAGAGCGAAATATACTATTTTCATAGTTTGCTTAGGAAACATGTTTTTTAAGTTTGATCAATTTAAATGTAATAAGACGTAACTTTCCTAATAAATTGTTTATATGATAATTCCATTTTAGGTTGTTATCAAATATTACACCCAGATAACGAATTTTTCCAACAATTTTATTCATTTTGCAGTTTTCCTGATTACATATTTTATTATTGACGCAGCCATGTACTGCTATAGTATTGATGTTACAATCTGTTTTATTAATTGAAAATGGCATAGACACAGTCTTATCAACATTTAGAGATAGATTTCTATTGTTTAAAATGTTTATTATCTGATTGAAACCTCTACAGGCTTTATCATATACCCCATCCCATGATTTCTCTGAGAATAGAAGACAAGTGTCATCAGCATAAGTATTAATATACCTACTTCTTGTTTTATTTTTACTTACATTTTTAATATTAAACACTAAAAATAATATTAAAACTGATTGTTAGTCAACTAGCATGGTATATTAAATTTAAAATTAATTCTATGACAAAGTTATCTTTATTTTTTTTATTTTTAACACAAATATACTTTTATAATGTATACTATCATTGTTTCAGGAAACATGGCTGCGATAAGTAAGTACAATGAACATTTTTAACGTTTTTAAGCAGAAAATTAATAAACTTCCTCTCTTACACTGACATTACTGTCGTTTAAAAAATAAATTCATAATGTATGATTTTTTAATGGATCCATCATCAACAATTTATTTAAAAATAAATACTTGCAATATAAATAATAGTATATTATTATATATTATAATTGCCTGAATTTGTATTGAGCTTGGCCTCTATGCCGTTATTATTATTATTATTTTCGTCATCAAAAGGGGCCTTTTTTATTTTATAAATGTATGGTATCATCCAGATGAGTAGAATAGATTTAATAAAAACAAGTTTTTTTTTAATGATTTGGCTGGTAATCTTAATTATTTAAAAAAATAATCACTTTAAAAATAAATCAAAATAAATAGTAGGATGCGTGTAATTACGATGGTATTAACTAAAATTTCATTAAAATTTGAACCATTCGATTTATATGCGAAAGTGGTTCCAATATTAAGTAAATATTAAGTGTGTGTTGATGATTTTGAAAAAAAAAAAAAAATTATAATAATCACAACTTACATAGAAATCAAAATATTACTAAACACCTTCGTGAAGCCTTTTAATTTTTTGATATCTCGGTCTTCTTGGAGTTTATGAGCACCGTGTAGGGAGGGTCGGCAATCTATATATCTATTTTTTTCGAACTCCATAGGATTTAATTTATTAAGGAGAAAAAAAAATAAGAAAAAAGAACAAGAATTGCAATAAAAATAAAAATTAATTTTACTATTTTGGTGCTGAGAAATCTTCAGGGGTGTAAAATTTGGGATAAAAATGAAAAAAATCTAAACAAGACAAATTAAAACAGGTTGAAATTAAAATGAATGAGTGAATCAGCATTCATATGACATACATAATCATAAAAAAAAAAGGATTTAGTCGTCCTATCATTAAAAGGACAAATCAATAAAATCATACAATATACTCGTAACATAAATGATAAAAAAAAGAACGAAATCATTTATTATTTTGTATACCGGCCAAGTTTTATATTTAAATGATTGACTTCACATTCTGCTTATATACATCGAAGTCGCCGCATGGAAATGATTTTTGGAGGTGACTACTTCATATCGATGGTGAACCTCATACAATACGAATTATAGGAAATAATAACAAAAATAATAAAAATAAAATGCGCAGAGAAGAGACGCTGTCGACTATCCGTCTCTGAGGCTTTCGGTGAAGTAAGTATTTGAAAAAGAAAAACACAATTTCTGGTGACGTACTATATTGTTATACTATTTTTCGGCCCACACTCGTACTCTTTGTTGATGGAGACACTATCATTGTACGCATGTTGAAAGTTTGTCAATAGCGTATGGGAACCGCGTCCAGGTTTTGACGAACCGATGTAACAAAAATAGTAATATCGTTAAAAATTTAATGATAATTTAGGTCAGTTTACTTCTTATAAAGCCAATAACGAAAAACCGGATTCATTGAACGAACGTTTTCCATGTTATATATATTGTTTTTTAGACTAAGACAACACGTTGAGGTGACCTCTTAAGAACAAAATTTACTATTACTCTCCAAGAGATGTATGTTAGCAAATTAAATAGGTTTGGCAATCATTAATAGCGTACAAACGCTGATCATTTCCTGGTATAGAAATGTGTACTCGTCGAGTCTAGGCACATTAACGAACAAATATATTTTATGAGTATAAATTAATGTATATACGTGCGTGCATGTGTGTGTGTGTGTGTATGTGAATGAGTGACGAGTTATTAATTATTAATGTGTCGCGAAATATTCCAATGTGAAAATTAATCCCGACAAATGTCTCTAATGATGAAATTTTGTTTTTAACACGAAATGGCACTAGAATATCGTCCATTCACGCCTTCGTCTCTGGTTCTGGAGCACGCTACTAACTTCTTATTGCATAACCGAATAAACGCAAAACCGACGCCACCCTTGTTCTAAAGAGTTTTGAGCAATATCGAATTTAAACTCCACGCGTGGAAATAATAATTTCGAGTTATACCACAAAATGTTTTAATGTATTCGTTACAATATCCCTGGAACTTCTGCGTTTTTCCAGAAATCATGCATAAATTTCTCACGGTCTTCGCTGTTCATTGGTATTTTTATAATTTAACACTACTTCGAACACTTGTGTTCTCGGGATGTTGATTCTCTTCGATAAAACCATTACCGCCTGATGAAGACAGATAAAACTTATTTTAAATTAAAAACTACAACTGACAAGACTATTACATTATACACAGTGTTAGGACTTATCTAGATAAATTATGTAGTTAGAATTTTTGTCATTTTTATCATATCTAGATAATAAACGCTAAGTTATCTCATTACTTATCCAAGATAAAATTTTTACTTATAATTTTATCTAGATAATTGTCTGCATTCTTGCCAATATTAGAGTTATTTTTATTTTTGTACGGAGAAGAATCCAACAAATCAGAGATCATCAAAATCGGCCCAGCCGTTCTTGAATTTTAAATTCTGTAAATAATCTGACTTTCTTTTATACTTATAAATTTTGTATTCATAATCATAATTCGTGTATTATTAATAAGTAATTATTATTTCTTGGTATGACATTTTGTTTGTATTTTCATTTCGAGTAAATATTTTTGGTATTTTTAAACTAAATTTCCTATTTTTCCATGGAAGTTCCAAATATAGTAGGTATTTGATTTTAGGTTATACACATGTAACTCATACGCTGAATAGCCATTACTTCACTCTTGGAACCCGTAAAGTCGTAATTACATATAGAATAATGAAAATCATCAAAATAATATTATATGGAAAACACTATTGTTAACTTTATGTATTCTGTATTTATCCTGATACGTACAGAGCAAATTTCAATTTTTTTTTTTTTTGTATAATAGTATAATATTTTAGTGATTAACTATCATTATATATTGTACATTATATATAATTACTGCTTAATGGTACACTACATTACAACAATAAACATTAAACACTTAGGTACATATTGATAGTAATGATTATAATTGAATCTTCATAGTTATTATTATAATATTAAATATTGACCAAAAAATAACATTTTTTGAAAATATCTTTTTTTTTTTATCTAGATAAAAATGAAATTCTCTTTTATCTTTATCTAGATACATTTTACATTATCTATTCCCAACACTGATTATACATGCTGCTAGAAAAAAATCCGTTTTTAAAACTATCTTCATTTAAATCACAGGGAAACGGGGAAAAAATCGATCTCAATATCGTTGGAAAATTCAACAAAAGAAAAAAAAGTACAACTATACGAACGGCGGAGACCTTCTGACCATTTTGCGTTCGTTCAGTAAGAGTATTATGTATTGGTACTGTATACCAATATCAAGTCAATATTGAATTGGATCCAGTGTATTTTGTCAATATTATGTTTGAATAAAAACACTCAACAAACGCTAAGATCAAAAGTTTTACGAAAATGAGCCTAATAGATTCCGAATCAATAACTATATCATATGAATAGCTGTGAAGAATATTTCTTATTTATCTTATTTCTTCTGCTTGACCGTCAAAGATTTATTCATAATACATTTGGTATAATAGCGATGACTATTCGACTATCACGACAAATTACGTTATTTTAACAAAACATGAGCACGAAGACCTACGAACATTATAACAAATAATTATAAGAACTTATTGTTTTCGAAATACTTGGGTAGCTTGATAGTAGGACATTTGACATCAATAATTTATTCGTAGGTTTTGTGCGACGTAACAAATCCTACTGTATTCACGATCAATATTTTTAGAGCTTGACTCAAACAATTGAAAATATTTGTGAATCCCAGTTCGGTATCGGCCAAACTCGATTAAACTTAATATAGTACACCGACGGATACGTTCGCGTTGACCAGGGATGGACAACTGTCGGCCCTAGTACGTTTTTATCCGGCCCATGTTATATTTTCAATTCACTTCATAACATTTTAGCGTTTATCAGTTAGTAGTTTTTTTTTTCACGTTGATCGCAAAACATATATACTATATTTTTCTCTAGCATTGAACTCTAATTTAATCGAGTAATGTCTTAATATAATATGTATCCATATCGGTATAGTAAACATAACTATAGGCATTAGACATTTATTTTATTATGTCGGATTAGCCGTAAAAAATAATAATCTTCAAATTTCAACGGCTTTATTTCATTTTTGCTTTCTTCGAATTTCCCGTGCCAATCGTAGGCATCCGGAACGATCGGCGATCCATTCGGGGCACCGTCTGATACAATGGCAGTTGTTGGCGTAAAAATCGGTGGGCAGAGAAGAAACAATGGGTTCGACGACGGCGGTGAGCGAAAGGACGGTGTAAATTTATTATTTTCCGTCCCCTGGCTGGGGTCAGCACGCGTTGTTGTCGGTCGTGCACCCGGTGAGTACCGCGGTCACCGCGAAACCGTATACCTATGTACGTGTTACAAGTGACCCGCGCGACGGACACCGCCTAATAGTGGTAATTCATTGTCGGGATCGGTGTGTGCAGCAGCATCGACGGTCATCCGTTTTTCGCGACGTGGCACCCACCGCCGATCGCCGCGCGAAAATCCCCGTCGAAACGGTTGCGCGACCGCGACACTTTTTGTTACTCTCCGCCCGTCCGCTGCGCAAATCGTTTTTAATCAAACAGCTCACGTCTCTCTCTCGGACCTTGATTATTTGCGTCCGACCAAACCCAAGCCTCAATTATTTGCGTCGAACCGAACCCCAGGCGGACGCTCGTAGTGTATTTTACGAACGCGAGCCCAAAACATTCGACGATTTCTTCGGACCAAAATAATTTTATAGGGATTCCAATATGGACACTAAGAATTTCCCATAAACCAATAAAATGTTAGTAACTCGTGTAAATACATGATTAATAATGATAATAATAATAATAATAAAGAATAATCAAGATTATTATAACATTAAAATATACAATATACGTTGTACTTAATTGTCACC